ATTTCTAAAAAACAAGAGAAACTTGTTTGGTTTGGGTTTTTCTTCTCCAATTTTTGGGAAAAGATGGATGTAGAAAACAAAAAATAATATTTGCCTGATTTTTTGATAATTTATTGTTGCCATTAGATTCAATAATTCTGATTTAATTAATTGATTGTCTTCATTAAATTGAAATTAGACCTAGATAATATTGGGACTCACCTCCAATTTATCTTCTTTTTTTTGGGTCCAACGATCAAGGATGTCCGACTTATATACACCTCAACTAATCCCCTTCTTAATTTGGTGAAAGACAAGTTATCCACGCCAGAGTTAAGGTATTCATGACAAATAAATCTCTCATTGTTCAGCCCCAAAAGATTGCTCTATTAGATTGGTTGTCATTAATTTAAAAGGATCCACTAGATTCAAGCGGATCCCCGATCAAAACACGGTGAATGTTTCGAGAAAATCTAGTATTAAAATGAATCGTAATCCCTTTTATTTATGAATAATGCTATTGAAAACTAAAAAAATAGCTTAATTTGTTGGACTAATAATGCGGCAATGACATGATCAAATAGTATTAATGTGACTGTAATGGTTAAAATTTTTCATTACGACTCTATTAGTAGACACATCATTATCCTAGTAAATTTAATCAATTTTCTATATGTCAATAACATTACTTTTTACACCGGTCAATGAATACAAATAAAAAAGAGAGTGATGCCAAACACGTCCTTATCAAACACAAAACATCCAACAATTTAAAACAAACTATGTTACGAGTGCAAATCAACACGAAGGGCAAGATCCAACTTGACTAAGTCCTAGAGATTTCATATTTTCGACCTCTTTAATGTCATTTACCATGTTGTGAACTGGGTTGTATCGGTTTGGTTAAACTTTTGTTCAAGATTGACTCCTGAGATAAATAAATCAAATTTAACTATAGATTTTACTTTGTTAATGTATTAAACCCGGATCAAACTGGGCCCACGAAAACAAAACAGAAAAAAAAAAAAAAAAGATGGGTAAAAATCACATAGACAACATTGGTTATGACTAAATATTTGAGCAATCCCATGGTATTTCAAATATGCTACGAATGATGGCAAGCATATTTTTTATGGTAAATATTATAATTGGTCTTTAAATTTTGTCTTCAATTTTAATTTGGTCCGTGAATTTTTAATTGTTCCAATTTAATCTCTCAACTAGGGGTGGTAAACAATTCAAGCTATTTGAGCTCGGATCAAATTCAGCTCGTTTTAAGTTCAGATAGTATGGAAACTCGTCTCTGATTCGACTTATTTTAAGCTCCGCTCGAGCTTGTTCGTTTAGAAAATGAGGCGAACTTGAACAATTTTTTAGACTCGTTTAGAAATTTTAAATTTTATTTTGCTGATTTAATTTTTAAGGAATTTTTTTGTTAAGTTAAATTATAATAAGTTTTGACCTTTGATCTATATTTCATTATGAAATTCTAAAATTTGGGACTTTTTTTATATGCGGAGCCTAAAATCCATATTTTTTTTTACTCTACCGTTGAGCGGGACAAGGTTTGTGACAAACCTACCATTTTTATACAAGCTTGTACAACCTACCATTTATATATATTTTTTATATTTATTTATTTATATATTGTTCGAAGTTTCTGAAAACCTAGGTGACCTTTGGTTTGTCATCACTTGTTGGTTGCCCAAGGTTTGTGACAACCACGAGAAAAAAATGAGATGTATATAGACTTTTATTTGTTGAAGTAATTTGGGCTGTCAAAATATGAAACAATTTATTAATATAACATGAATATTACGTCAAATTAGAGGGTTTGAATATTTTTTTAAGTTATCCGTTTCATAAATGAATATATTTAACAAGACATGATTAATAAACGAATTGAGTATAGGTAAAAGTCTATCAAAAGAAATACACTACACAATTTATTTATGTACCAATTATACATGGTTCATACACGACATGATTAATAAACGAATCAAGTATAAATAAAGTCAATAAAAAAATATATGACACGATTCGTTTCTATACAAATTATGCACGATTCTTATACAATATGAACTTAATATAACACGACTTGTTAAATACGAATTAATATGAATCAGGTGTGTGTGGAGCGTTTTTTGACACCAACCCACTAAAATTCAAAATGAACCCACCTTACTCGACACAATTGACAAGTCTAGTAGTAATTGATCCATGAACCTTCCCTCCCCCCCTTCCCTCTCAGCTTTACAACGAAAATAACTTTTGTATTCAATTTTTTTGAATGATAACTCTTCTATTAATCAAATATAAAGTTGAGGATATATTGAAAGTCATTTTACTTGAACTTAATTTACAGATCTAATTTATTTACGTAATTATTTATAATCATTGGTTTGATGGTGAATCTCAGTAGTTATTGAGACTCACAATTAATCTAATAATTGTGATTCATTAGATTAACAAATTAGTTCAAATTAATATTATTTTTATTAAAAAAGAATCGGAACTTTGTTTTGTCTAGCAAAACATATATATATATATTTTTTTTTGAGAGTGTGGATCTGTGTATGTCAAATTATTATTGAAGAAATGAGTCACAGTTGAAAATTGTATGGGGACAGAGTCATATTTAATCGAGAAAAATTATGTTAAAGTAAGAGAATTTATCATCGTAAGAATAATTAAGATTAATTTTTGATAGTTAGACACTCCAACCTGCTCTCTTGTTTTGGCCTTAGATTAAAGAAAAAATCTCAATTTTAACTTTAAAAATGAAAAGTTACAAATTATAAGTTAAAAGACTTTTAGGGACACTGAAAATGACATTTAAGGACATTAAATTATTTTAAATTTGAGGACCCGATTACCTTAGCGGCCTATATCCAGCGCCGCCACAGTGGCGGCAATGTCTTTTGAGGGCAACGTGGAATCAGGGTGCATAATTTAGGAAGTCTTAACTCTAATTTATATGTATTTAAATGTTATTAGTTAGTGTACACGTATGTTGCACGTGAACTATTTCAAAAATTAAATATTATGCAATAGTACTATAAATATAAGAAAATGCCCTCGCTCATATGTACTTTGAAGTTGATTGTGTGTTTGTTATATTTTTTGTAGATACGTTTGTGAAGAATAATGTTATTCATCTCATAGAAAAACATAAATTTACCTTTAGTATACATTGCAATTAAGTCATCCCTAGTTAGAAACACTTATTTCCATCAAGACTTTTGCAGCAACCCATAAAAAAATAAAATAATAAGAAGATTGGCACAATACCCAATTCCAATAAGAAAACCTTGCCTCAAGTTAATTGTGGCTGCTATTTGAAAAAAATGGTGAGTCTTAGGGGTAGTGGAAAATTAAATAATAATAAGATTGACACAATACCCAATTCCAATCAGAAAATCCTGCCTCAGTTAATTGTGGCTGCTATTTGAAAAAAATTGTGAGTTTTAGGGGGTAGTCTGTTGGTTGAACGTGATTTTTTATTACACAGGAATCTTAGGTTCAATTTTTTTTACATTTATTTAGGGTTAGTCTCCCTTATCTCTTTAGGGGCATACTCTAACTCAACTCAAATCACGGTGGCCAACTTTTGAGTTCGAGGGAATAATCGGTGCAAGTCAGGATATCTTGTATCAAATAAAAAAAAACCATAAATGTAAGGAGCATAACTTTTCCTATATGATCTACTAAACTTAGAAAAAGATCACACATAAAAGATTTATAAATCAAACATGGTAAGACAGAGGAAGAAGAAAAAAAGATTCTTCATAGTTTTTCAGTAAGAAAAAAAAATTGTTTATAGTTTTTCAGTATTTTATATAAGCAAAAGCTTGGTGATGATGTACAAAATAGTCTTATGCAATATTAACAGTTGAGTGTGTGATAAAGTGTAATTAATGAATAATTAATAGAGCAATTAATGACAATAATGTAAATATCGAATCAACACGCAGATATATAGTGGTTCAGTCCGGGTGACCTACTTCACTCTGGAAAACGGCAACGGCAACGGTGGTCGAGGGACCTTTTATTAATTAAGTAAGGTGAACGAGAGAGAAAGCAATGGTTAGCCCCAGGAGGAATACAATAGCTAGGAGAGAGAAAAACTATGTGGGGTGTGTAGAGAGGTGTAGAGATAGATGTTTTCTCATGTAGAGAAAACTTACAATTTATAGGCACAGAGTCTTAAGTTGAGGCGATGATGTGAGGGTAAATGTACTAATTATTCGGATAGCTACAAAAGATAAATATAATTAAAGGTTGTCTTGATCTTCGATAGTGAGTATCTCGATAATTGCTCCTCACGTACTTTAATCTTCTTGGATTCTTCAGACCTTGGGCTAGGTCAATTTGACGAACTGGGTTTGACTTGCCTTTTAACTGATTTGGGCTCACTTGATTTACTTGGCCTAGCCTGGTTAGATTTGGGCCTATCATTTGTCCCACATGCCCCAAGTCCTTGCGGTGTCAAGGTGATTGAGGGCATGAGTGAGCACTTCACTTTGAGTGGACAAAAGGGTTTCTTGTTCTCCACAGTGGTAATCCCCTCGGCTTCCTGCCCTGTTGGCATCTTTTGGTCTTACTTTTCTGTTTTAGCTGAGCATCCACTGTGCTATCACCATTCTGGAGTAGACTTTATCCTTTTCATATTTAAAGGCTCCTTCCTTCACCTAGGGCACAATTTCTAAGGCTTCAAGAGGTCAATTCTTATTGAGCCACTTTTCTCTTTTCTTTGAGAGTTTCAAATCTTCCACTAGAGATTGTGAGAGATAGATGAATATGAGCTTCATGGATGATGTTCAAGGTGAAAACCCATCAGACAAAGGGAGAGGAGCGATTCAAGTGCAAGCAGCGAGGTGGAACAACAGCTCAGAGACGAAGGAGAATTAGGCCTTGTTCTGGCTAAGGTTCTCGTTAATGGTAGCGACGACGTCCAGGGAATGGTGAGAGGCTCCAGGCATCGCGATGAGGGGCGTTGACGAGTCCTTGAACTGAGTCGCATGGGCGACTTTGATGACAGTTGTTTGGGGGATGGATCCTCAGGCAACCCCAGAAGCTCATTAGGTGACGCCAGAGGCTCCTTAGGCGAAGCTACCACATTGCGCGTTGAGAACAAGGGGACATTAGGTGGCGGAGAGTATCGAAGGCACCCTGGATGGAACCACAGTCAGTCAAGACGGTGCCCATAGCTGGATTAGGGGGTTCGTTTTGCGTTGTGCTGGACAACGCCTAGTATAGGGAAGACAGAGGCATTGTTGAAGAAGGTAGGGACCCAGGAATGATTGGGGAGGCAAAGGAGGCCAAGAGGGCGATGCCTATGCGATTGTTGGCGACGTCATGGGAGGCCAAGAGGGCGGAATCCATGGCACGAGGGATGACACTATAGTAGCTAGAGGTTTCCTAGGCGAGACAGACGACGGCGAAGCAGGCGACACCTTGGGCTACTCGTAGACAAGCGGCGCCCCTAGCACTGAGCTGGATGGCGATGCCTAAGGCACTAGTCGCTGGGCACTGGTTGGCACGGGTGAAGGGCGGTGGCACTGGGCGCTGGCTAAGCGATGCCTTACAGTAGGAGACAGCGCCTTGGAGCAGGAGGCAACGCTAAGGCCAGTGCCATGGAGGCTTTGGCAAATCCAGGAGAAAGGAACATGCATTGGGGCGCTGGCCGAAGTATCAAAAAATCATGAAAAAATGGCAAAACTTTAAATGGTCATAACTTTGCGCTTGGTTGTTCGTTTGAGACAAATTATTTTATGAATTTGGGTATTTTTTTTAGATCTACGACATACATATTGCCAAAGGCAGTTTAGCATCAAATTTTCCCAAAAAATGCTTCTTTCTCTCTGAATTTGAATTTTAAACACAAATTAGTAAAGCCGACGACAATGGGAAGCTAGGCTCTGGTAGACAGCTATCAGGCATCCATGGGCGGCAGATTGGCATTTTGGGTTTTTCCAAAGAGGGAGACTATGATGATTTTCGACTAGGTAAGAGGTGAACTCGTTTTCTCCAATCGTGTTTTCTCTTTAATGTTTTTTTAATGCTGGTTCTTTATACTAACCTTGTATCTAATTACAGACGCCTTGTTGATAGGGCGATGATGTAGGCTCTTTATGCTTTTTGGGTGGTGTCTTTCCCTCCTCCCAAGGGGGTGAGGTTATATGCCCCCAGTGCTTCTCGGCCAAGGTCTGATAGCTAGGTTGCTTCCCGAGAGATGGGACCCGGTGGTGCCCCCACTCCTTACCAGACTGCGACCTCTGTGTGTACTTGAGCTAGTCCTTGTACCATTATAGGAGTTGAGACTCTAGTGCGGTCTTTCACGGGGACTGTAGTTCCACATAACCGTTATGTTTCTAGTAGTGGCTCGGTGTTCATGCTTTGACGTGACTTCAGTCAAGGAACAACTTTTGAGGTTTGTCATTCCTAAAGATATCAGAGAGGTCAGATCTTGAGGTCCAGAGGGCATTATTAATACCGCGATGGAGGGGTTTTTCATGGTATACTTTTCTTCTGTATGCTTGGTCATATGACATTCTGGTTTTCAGATATTTTGTAGATGGCTGCAGCTTTTTCGTACTTTTGAGGACGCTCAAACTCGACAAAGTGCCGAGAACTTTAGCGGAAGAGATACTTGGGCACCAGGCTGTGGTTGAGGTTGACTCATGAGAGAGCAACAACTCTCGAGGCCGAGCTTCTAGAGAATGAGGCTACTTGTGTGTAAGCACAGGCTAAGTTAGACCGAGTTCTAGGAGACCAAAGCTGCTTCAGAGTAGAGATAGGATTAGGCTAAGTTTGTGGTGACTCGAGAAGGAACCACTAAGTTGGAAATTGAGGTTGCTTGCGTGAGAGTAGAGACAGAATAAAGCCAAGCTTTTGGTGACTCTCGTGAGAGACGCTAAACTGGAGACATAGGTTACTTGCTTAAGAACAGAGGCAGGATTAGGCCGAGCTTTTGACGACTCACGAGAAAGCACGAAGCTAGAGATATATGCTGTCTGCTTAAGAGTAGAGGTAGGATTAGGCTGAGCTTTTTGGTGACTTGCGAGAGAGCACGAAGCTGGGGACTGATAAGGTGACTTTCTACATGAGAGTAGAGTTAGAGCTGTTAGCGTCCCGCAAAAGGGCCGCCGGAGCTAAGGCTGAGCTATGTATAGTTCGGGAGAGGGCTGCCGTGACAGAGACTCATTCATTTGAGATGAAGATGATGAGTGAGGCTGCTGAAAGTGCCATTGTAGACGCCTTTATTGATGGTTATGAAGAGCTTAACAACTTTTTATGCTATTAATTTCTCTGATTTTGTCCCGTATGAGGCACCAGGGGTAGATGGTGACAGGGAGAGCCTTAACGATAGTGACTCGGGGGTAGTGGGTGATTGTCGGGAATATGACAACTTTTATCTCTCTGTCTACCTTGTTGTTAGATTATGTTGTGACTGTTGTAAGTTGTTTACAATCTTTATGAAATGAAAGTAAGATAGTTCTGGACACAATAATTTTCACAGAGTTTTATTTCGTAAAATAATAGATAACAAAGTAAATCAACTAAAACAATAAACGATGAATAAAATGAGATCCACCAGCTTGTACCTACCATTAATAATGCCTTTTCTGGTGTTCGGCATCCCATAGGTGGGCTAAGGTTTCCCTGCTTTCAACGTGCTGTCATCCTTAGGGTCGAGCACTTCCACTCAGATAGCCTCTTGGTCTTCATAGAGGCCACGTAACATTCTCTGGCGACGACTTGGTTTCCTTTGACTTCTCCAATCCCACAAAGGGTAGGAAAATGAAGAACCAGATGATATGTGGACGACACTGCCCTTAGGGTGTTAAGTGCGGGGCGTCTAAGTATGATGTTGTAGGCAGAAGGATAGTCTAGTACGATGAAGTGCACCATGATGACAGAGCTTCTTGACGTTGTCCCTGTGGTGACTGGCAGGGTGATGGAACCCAAGGGATAAACCCTTTTCCCCTGATAATCCAACAAGGGGTGTCCTAATGGATTGCAATCTCTCCCTGCCGAGGTGCAGGTTGTCATAGGCTGGTGCAAACAGGATATCGCCTGAACTACCACTATCGCCCAGAATTCTCTTATTCTAGTAGTTCGCTACCATCATGGTTAAGATGAGGGGATCATCGTGACGGAGCTGGATTCCCTCGAGATCCTTATCCAAGAAGATGATGATCTATTTTTCCCTATGTTAGGGTGTCTTTGTCGGGCGAGAGTCATGCGACTCTACCTGCTTGCCTGGCTTTCCTGGTGTGGGCTTTTCCTGGCAGAGTTGGGGTTATCTCCTCCTCTTAGCCCTTCGGAGATTATTTGAATTTCTCTAAGGGGTTGCTGACNCTGGCTTTCCTGGTGTGGGCTTTTCCTGGCAGAGTTGGGGTTATCTCCTCCTCTTAGCCCTTCGGAGATTATTTGAATTTCTCTAAGGGGTTGCTGACATTCTCTGTCATCCTGGTCCTGGCCAGGTGGCAAGGCTTGTCCTCTGCCAGCAACGTACTACCTCAGTTGGCCACGCTGTATGAGCTTCTCGATCTGCCTCTTAAGCTCGTAACAGTCATCAGTCTCGTGGTGAAAATGGTAATAATTGCTCGAATTTCTACGATTCGGGGTGGACTTCATTTTTCTTGACCAACGGAGCATGGGGTCATCCTGTATCTGGAACAGGATGTGCTCCACTGAGGCGTTGAGTGACATGAAGGGTTGCCGTTCTCTCTAGGGTACTAGACCGAGACGGTCTTTGAGAGAGACTCTCTCAGTTCTCTGTCTCTTGCTCTCCACCTCCCTCTTATCTTCACGGGTGTCCTTCCTGTCTCTCCTCCTCGGGAGGAATCACCTCGATGGACTTTGTTGACGTCCTCGGCGTTTATGTACTTTTGTGCCCTTGACAGTAGTTTGGGCATGTTGGAGGGCGACTTCTTAAGGACGGAGAATATAAAACTAGAGGAGCGCAAACCAGCAATAAAGACGGTCATGGTTACCTTATTGTTTGGCTCCTTGATCTGGAGAGCCTCCTTATTGAAACGAGTGAGGTAGCTCCTAAGGCTTTCATCCTGGTCCTATTTGATGGTGAACATGTGAGTAACAGGCTTCTGATGTCGGCGTCCCCCAATGAAGTGGGAGACAAAGGATTTGCTCCGCTCCGCGAAGGAGTGGATTGAAGAGGGTTTGGTCTTCGTGAACCATTGTCGAGCATACCCCTTCAAGGTGGTGGGGAAGACTCTACACATGATCTCATCAGACACGTTGTGAAGTTGCATGAGAGATTTATATGTGTCGAGGTAGTCTAGAGGGTCTTTGGTACCGTTGAAGATCTTGATAGCAGATATCTTGAACTTCAAGGGTAGGAGATAATTGACAACATTTGCAACGAACGAGGTATTTGTGTGCCTTACCAAGTAATCCACCGTCTTTGGCGACTGTGCTTTGATGACGTTGAGGGCATCAATGAGCTAGATTTGCACTTCCTTGATCTTCTCGTCTCATTGGTTGGGGATATCCTCTATGGGGTCATTGTAATGGATTTCATGATTGGCATATTGGCTTTCTCCCTCGTCCTCTTGCACAAGTACATCAGGAAGGGGAATATGTGAGCTTCCTGCGCGCTGAGGAGGGACTTCCGAGCGAGGGGCGCCTTGGCACTACCCGGGGGCGTTCTAGCGCAAGTAGTGCTCCTCCTACAGGTTGAGGGGTGATGCCTCATGAGGGGAGCATCAAGTGGATGATTTGCTGGTTCTAGCTTACCAGCAGCTGCATGATCTGTAAAAGTTGTTGCCTGACCACAAGAGTCGTAGCAGTGGATGGTTTAGAGGGTGTGGGGGGAGGCGGAGCCTCCTCCCGGGGGGCCGAGTTGTTGTCTCCCGATTGTTGACTCAATCAACTTGGTTGTCATTGCCATGTTTTTGAAAGATAGTGATAAGGTAGTAAAAAACTTAATTGTTTCCCACANAGTTGTTGTCTCCCGATTGTTGACTCAATCAACTTGGTTGTCATTGCCATGTTTTTGAAAGATAGTGATAAGGTAGTAAAAAACTTAATTGTTTCCCATAGATGACACTAAACTGATGATGCACAAAACAATCTTATGCAAGATCAACAATCTAGTGTGTGATAAAGTGTAATTAATGAACAATTAATAGAGCAATCAATGAAAATAATATAAATATCGGGTCAACACGCAAATATATTCGGTCTGGGTGACCTACTCCACTCCGAAAAATGGCAACGGTGGCCGAGGGACCTTTTATTGATTAAGTAAGGTGAACGAGAGAGAGAGAGAGAAAGAGAGAGAGAGAGCAATGGTTAGCCCCGAGATAGATACAATAGCTAAGAAAGAGAAAAACTATGTGTGGGGTGTGTAGAGAGCTATAGAGATAGATGTCTTCTTATGTGGAG